ATACAAGCATATATATGATTATAATTCATAAAATATCTAGTTTATAATTAAATAATATATTGATATTATAATATTTGATGATTATATTATCTAATTATATAGTATTCTACCTTGAAATTTATCACATCCACCAGCTGTTGCACCTCGGACCCATTCGCCTTCAAATATACTCAAATCCCATTTTTCTCCTGCGTCTGTCCCATATTGTTCCCTGTCTAAATAGTCAGGAGCCAAATGACAAATTTCCAATGCAGTGAAATATTTAAGAAAATCTTCGTATGACATCCAAAACTCTCCATCATCTTCATTTGTAAGTCCTATTAACTGTATTAATTGTTGAGGTATAGATGACCACTCATCTGACCTACAAAATATTTTTTAAATAAATTCATTAAAATAACATGTTTGTAAATAATAATATAAAGAAAGATATTTACATAATAATAATAACTTACTTATCACTCCAACGACCATTCCATTCATAATCATTGCCCCAAGGATTTCGAAGTCTAATCAGAGGTATTATACTATTACTCTTGGGCAGTGGTATATAAGTTATCTTGGTAATACTGTATGCATGACCTGTGCATAATCCTTTGTCTTTTGTATCAGGCTTAAACAATAATACATTATTTAAAATTTAAAAATCATGACTCAAATAACAAAAATAATTTTTTGAAAAATTGAATATCTAACCATTTTCAAATTWAATATATCGCCACACATGAGCGATTGACGTTGAAAAGATTTTAGCATAATCATGAAAAAATCATTTGGTATTTTATCTAATTCATATATTTCTGATACACCTCCAGTAAAATCTCCCATAGCCTCCATTGTGAAACCTCCTTTCAAAGCTTCGTATGAACCGTTGATTCTAGCAAGTACAGTTTTTTTTTATTTTAATAGGTATATGTTATTTGAATCCGTGATAAATATATTAATTTTACTTAATGTGTGTGATTTGTGTGTAGATGTTATGTATACCTATCTAGCAGTAAAAACTTACTTATAACTTAAAGGATAGTCTTCTAGTACTAAATTAGATTTTAGTTTTAGGAAAACAAAAGTAAAATTACTAATTACTTTTAAAAATAATTAAAACACACAAAAAAGATAATGTAAACATAGTTTTTAACARAATAAAATTTGTTAAAAAATAAATAAATTAGCAAGACTTTAAATTTTCATTGAATATTAATCATGAATATTCATAAAGTATGGTGGAGAATAAAGGACCACATTTTTAATTTTTTAGGTAGAGAGTTAAATAAATAGCAGTTGTTGCAAATTTACGAAATTTTAATTGGATATAAAAAAATTAAGTTTGAAACAGAATATCCGACAAATGGCGTCCGTGAATGGAGATTCATTTTTGGAAACGCTTATCAAAGTTTTTTATCACTTTCCCAATAAGTCCACTGGAATTCATG